GGGGCAAGAGCTGCTGGGGCGGGAGTGAGGGGCACCGCGTGGGGGGGCACTCACCTCCGTGGGCTTGTAGCAGTCCACCAGGATCTCCTGGGGGAGACAAATGGAGTCAGGGGCACGTCCAGGCCCCCTGCGCCGCCCCCTCACTCCCAACCCGCAGCCCCTACCTTGACCCGGGCCCCCCGGGCATCGTCGCTGCCCATGTCCAGCAGCTCGTCCACGTCAATCTCCAGCTCGGGGATCTCCTCCTCCTGAGGGGGGGTCACAGTCAAGCAGGGACCCAGCCCCCCATGCCTGGGAGAGGCAGACAACCCAGGTGTCTGGGTGCCCCCACCCCCTCCCCAGGTGCAGTGTAGGGGAGCCCCCAGGGTCGGGGTTCAGGGCCCCAGCTCTAGGGGGTCAAGGTGGGCTATGGGGGTTTCTCCAGCTGGGAGGTCTGGGTCAGATTTTGGGGTGCTGGGCTGGATTTGGGGGCTAATCCAGCTTTTGGGGTGCAGATGGGGCCTGTTGGGGTGCTGGGGGGGCCTGTGGGGCAGGCCAGGTGTGCAGGTGGTGGTCTGGGTACTGGGGGCAATTGAGGATCTGGGAGCACCAAGCCAGGGCTGTAGGACTCCTAGGATTTGGGGGTCCTTAGGGGGCTCACTGGTTTTGGGGTCCCCCAGCCAGGGCTAGTGGGCAGGCCAGGCTCCTGGGCTGCAGTTGAGGGATTCCACTAAGGATTGGGGGTCCCTGCCTGGGACTAAAGGGTCTGCCAAGCTTTGGGGTGCAGGGGCAGGTTTGGGGGTCCCCCACCCAGGTCTAGGGAGATTGTCCACTGTTTTGGAGTACCAAGCTGGTCTCAGGGCATGGGTCGGGGGCACCTTGCTGGGTTTTTGGGGCTCCCCTTGGGTCTAGTTGGGTCTGGGGGTTCCCCCAGGGGTAGGGGGGTCTGCAACTGGGTTTGGGGGTGCAGGCCTAGTCTGGGGGGCCCCCGGGGGCTGAGACAGAGGACAGGGTCTGTGGGTCCTTGGCCGGATGTGGGGGCTCCCCCAGGGCCTTGAGATGGTCTA